AAATTTAGCACATACTTGAGACTGATTATTTTCTTTCCTGTGTTAGAGGCTTCAAACATTTCCTTTCTCAAAATACTTCCTCAGCTGCCTTTTCCCCACATTATCCTTTTTCTGCAAAGAGGTTATCCACTTCTCAAAACTTCGATTCCCAAAGCTGTCTCCCTCTGAGCCTCTACACAGCCCTATGTCTCCACATCCAACTATCCAACGCAGGGCTCAGCAATCTTTTTCTGTAAAGGTCTAGATAGTAAATATTTTCAGCTCTGTGGTCCATAGGTTCTCTTTTGCAACTACTCAACTCTTTGTGACGTCAAAGCAGCCAAAGAAAACATGTAAATGAATGTGTGTGGCTGTGTTCCATTAAAACTTTATTTACAAAAGCAGAAGGCAGGCCAGATTTGCCAACTCCTCTCCCACCCTGATAAGCCATAAGTTTGCTGACCCCTGATCTACATGCATATTGAAACTGGACCAGTCAGATTGTAGAGCTCCTGGGAATTTGGATTGGGACTGGGAAATGGAGTTAAGTAATAATTGTGGGTTGCTAAGCAGGAAAGTTGGGCAAACTGGGTGGAGACCAGAGGTGGAGAGCAGGGGCCACTATTTGGGACAGCCATAGTAGCATTCAAGCAGACAAGTAAGCAGAGAAGCCCATCTGCAGAGGAAATGAAGCAGACATACAAAGAAAAGCTCAGATTAGAGACCAGAAGATGAGAGAGGGAAAGGGGGAAGGAAGGTTCGTGTAATATTGGCTGTGCTTCCCACAGTTTTGTCTCACATAATCCCTGCCTATTTTTATATTCGTTCCTCCTTTACTTTAGCCAGCTGGCATGAGTTTCTGTTTCTTGCAACCAGATAACCCCTAACTCAAGCAACCTTTTATACTCTAGAAATTCCAATGACTGACAGTTCTCTGACTTGAACAGTCATGCTCTCACATAGCTGAGGCTTTGCTCGGTGTGGTTCCATTCCCCACCCCCACATTGCCACTTCTCTATATTCTTTTCTTTCTGCAAACTTTGCTCAGACTTTATCTCCCGTGGCTGAATTAGGACTTGATTCCCACCACTCCTTATGTAAAGCTTTATCAGTGTACTTATAATGCCACATTATATTTTCTGATTTGCTTGTCTTTAGTTATAACTACAACTTTTATCTCTGTGCTATGTATAGGGCCTGGTACATAGTAAGAACTTAACATAGAGGTAAAGTTACCCAGTGGTCAATAAATCTATAACATAAGGATAGGTTCTAACCACCTGAAGGCTCCAGATCCTCAGCTGTCCCTTCCAGTTTCATGAGCCAAAATAGAAATAATATAAACTGATAAACTTATTCATATGTAAAGGACTATGGAAAGGTACTCAATATGTCTTTATAATCAACTTCGCTAATTGTTCAAAACTATGTTCTCACTGAATATTTTGTCTGCCTATTTTATTAGTGGAATATGTTAACATCTCACGCTAAAATTATTGATCTTTTTATATTTGCTTTCAGTCTTTTAAAGGTTTTGTGCCATCATTTTCTGGCTTCAGACTATTCTATTAAAAAGTCAATTCTAAGTCTATTGTTTCTTTAAAGATAAGCTCTTATTTTCTCTAGTTCTTCTTAAGATTTTTCTCTTTGGGGGCGCCTGGGTGGCTCAGTTGATTAAGCGACTGCCTTCAGCTCAGGTCATGATCTCAAGGCCCTGGGATCAAGCCCCGCATCAGGCTCCCTGCTCGGCCAGAAGCCTGCTTCTCCCTCTCCCACTCCCCCTGCTTGTGTTCCCTCTCACGCTGTCTCTCTCTCTCTCTGTCAAATAAATAAATAAATAAATAAAATCTTAAAAAAAAAAAAAGATTTTTCTCTTTGTCTTTTAGCATTTTATCATGATGCATCTATGTGTCAACTGTATGGACTAGAAATATATATATTATATATCCTGCTGGGGATTCATTAATTCAAATATTATTTCTGCCCAATACTATCTTTCCTTCCCTTCCAGAATTCCAACTACATGCATATTAAACTTTATCACTATATCTTCTATGTGCTTTCCCTGTGTTCTGTGTTTTCCATCCTTTTTCTTATGCCTCATTCTGCATAGTTTCTTCTCAACTATCTTCTAGTTCACAAATTCTATCTTTGTTTATGTCTAATATGCTATTTTACCCAGCCCTGAGTTCTTATTTTCAGTTAGTGAATTTTTTGGTTCTAAAATTTTCATCAGATTCTTTTCTTCAAGTTTCTAGTTATATGTCTAAATTTTTAATCTTACATTTTATTTATTTATACATAGAAAACATTGTTATTTTAAAATCTGAGTCTGATAATTTCACTATCTGAATCCCTTTTGCTCGGTTTTTGTTCTTTGTTGTTTCTGTTGGGTTTTTTTGTTTGTTTGTTTCTTTGTGTGACTGATTATTTTTCATTGTGTACTAAACATAGTTTTTGTAAAATGGTACAAATGATCTGAGGCCTAGAATGATATTACTTTACTCCAGAGAAAATTTCAGTTTGCTTCTGCCAAGGGCTTGGGGGCATTAGCTTAAAGAAATTACCCTAATCCAGTCTCAGGGTTGAGATGATCTGAAATGGAGATGTCTCCCCTTTACTTCTAGGATATAACCATTTGGATTCCTTGTCCAAAGCAAGGGGACTTCAACCGAGTCATCCTCCTTCCCCCTTTGCACATCTTGAACTCTAATCACTATCCCCCATTCCTGTCCATACTCTCAGCAACCTTCTATGGAATGGGTAAGTGATTCACTGGGCCTCCATCAACCCTCAGGTCATAGACTATAATTTCTATCTTGTTAGCTCTCTACCACCTTCAAGCTGATATTTTTTATATTTTGCTAACTTTTTCTAGTGTCCTTAGTAAGAGAATTGGTCCAAATTACTGCCAATAATAGGGCCTATAGAAATGTAGGTACGGGGGCACCTGGGTGGTTCAGTCAGTTAAGCGTCTGCCTTCAGCTCAGGTCATAATCCCAGGGTCCTGGGATCAAGCCCCGAGTCAGGCTCCCTGCTCAGCAGGGAGTCTTTTCCTCCCTCTCCCTCTGTCTCTCCCCCTGGCTTGTGCTCTCTCTCACTCACTCTCTCACCCAAATAAATAAATTAAATTTTTAAAAATAAATAAATAAATAAATAAAATTAAAAAAAAAAAGAAATGTAGGTACTATCAAATACAGGTAGTTGCACTTAGGAAGTACATTGAAAATGATCCTCAAAGGAAAAAAAAATAGACTTTCATTCACAATTCCATCTTTTTAGCCCAAGTGGCAGACAAGTACTTAGGACTATTGTATCCTATTCCTGGTATCTTGTAATTTGAGAAAAGTTACTTCTTTTATCAACAAATATTATTGACTATCACCTCTGTCCCAAAAACTGTTCCAAGAAATTAGACTATAAGAATGAAAAAGATATGGCCATTGACCTCAAGGGGCTTGAAGCCTACATTCCTTATTGGTAAACTGGTTATTTTTAGAATCACCAAGTCATGATCAGAGAGGCTTTGTTAAATATATGTAATACAATGATAAATACATTTAAAATGTAAACATGTATATTTGAGCTCCTATCACTTTTCAGCCTAAATATGAGGGCATTTCAAACAATATATTTTCTAATGCATTTGTCTTCCAGGGAAGTTTATTATTGAATATGTTCCTTTAAAGTATTTTGGAGAACAAAGAATACAAACTTCACAAGAGATCTTAAATGCCAGGATCCTCTTTTTCCTAAAGAGTTAAACTGTGCTTTCATAGCCTTTTTACTCTTGTAAACTCCTAGGAAAAGCTACTCACTCCGAATCATCGTTAGTTTTAATCAGAGCTTTTCCTTGATAGGTGTTCAAAGTCCTCTAAAATAGCCTTTAAGTATACAAGTGTCCCTGGACTCTAAACTAAGTGTGACAGATTTCCTAAGGGACCTGAGCCTTATACACAGAGATTATTTAAATGTTCCCAGCCTCTCTACTGAATCAATCAGTAGAGAGGACCAGCAGAAAGATCTTAGTGGATGCCAATGCAGTACATTCATTATTTGACCTTGAACAAGTTACATAACTGTTCTGGATTTGTTTTTGCATCCATGATAAACTGGGCTCCTGATGCCATATCTTTAAAGTATATATTAATTCCAGATCTCAAATTCTGTGATTCTTCTAGAGTTGAGAAGGACTGTTTGGTCACCTGAGTTTAAAATTGATTAGAAGGAAAAATAGGAACTGAAGTTCAATATATCAAATAAGATACTATTACAGTAATCTGTAAGGAGATGAAGACCTGTATTATATTAGTGATCACCATGGCTAGCAGAGATAAAACAAAACTAAGGTATGAGAAGGCTGTGGCTCTCCAGAAGCCACCTCCTTTCAATCTTCCCTTTTTTCTTCTGCTCCCTTTCTACTACATTCTTCCTCCAGGAACTTCTTTCAATTTGTCCACATGAGGGGGCAACAGTGGTTGCTCTTAAGGGAGAAAATGAAACAACTCTTGCTTTAATTGAAGCTTATTGTATATTTGCCTTGTGGCCTCTTACTCTAAATGCAGTTATGAGGCCTTTCAGGACAGTGTAATGAGCAACAAATGGAACTGGCAGGTGATTTTGGACAAATCATATAGACACAGCATTCTCCTCTGTGGAATGAGGGCTGAACACTTCCATTTTTGTTTTTATACATTCTGATGCCTATAATTCTGTGTCTTTGTCATCCCCACAGCTTGACTTGTTTTATTGTCAGTAAGCAGCCTGTTTCATAATCAGCTCACTTTATACTCACGGCCTGGCACATAGTGAATATTCAGTTAACATTCATTGTTCGGGAAGAATGTGAATCTCCTATGCATCAGTCACTATGCAGGTCTCTTTACCTCTTCTTTCAACCCATTCAGCACACTTGTGAGATAGGTATCACTACTCTAGTTTTTGAAGATGTGGATATATTCAGAAATTTAGTGTTCAGGATCATAATTTTAGTAAAATGGAGCCTTAGTTCTGCCACTTACCTTGTATTTGTCAGGTTATTTTTCTAAGCCTCGGGTTCCTTATCTGTAAAGTGGGAATTTGTAAGAGTTAGGATAGGGTTTGCAGATTTACCAAAAACCAAAACAAACCAGGAAGTGTATCCCCAAATGAAACATTCTTATTAAAAAAATTATTCTGCATTTATCTGAAATTCTGATTTAATGGGACACTCCTATTTTATCTGGCAATGCTATCTTAGCATTATGGTTATTACAATGCATGTCAAAAATTTAGCTCTGCCCCTAGCACTTAGTGAGGGCTCAATAAATGCGATGCTTATTAAATTTTGTATCTGATTTCGAAAGTCCTTTTTTTTTCACCACAACCACGCTGAGCTCAGTTTTCACTTAAAATTTCAGTCAAGTGAGTGTAATACTACTTTTAGTTCATATTAATGTTTTACCGTTCCTACAGTGCTTTCAAAGACTGGCCAATGGCGGAAAGCTCTTGAGGAAACCCACAGAAGCTCGGGCTGTTGGGGGTCTTCGCTGCACTCGCAGCACCAGGCTCCGCGGGCCGACCGGCAGGGGAGGTCGCCCTAGCCCCGCCCCCCGCCATCTCGGCCACTCAGGGGCCGCGCCGCGCCCCGCTGCACTCCTATAGGTCCTTCCCGGACAGGCGAGGCCTTTCCATTTTTCCCGCCTTCCCAGCCCCTCCTCAGTCCGAAACCCGCACTGGCTCACAACGTCTCCGCCCTGCCTTCCGTGCGAACCCCGCCCTTCCGGACACTGCATCTCCCTTCCTTCCCACCAGCAGTTCAGAGCAGCCTGCGCGGTCCCTGGCCGGCCCTTAGGTAGGAGGTGGGAGGGGACACGAGGGGCGGACCGAGCCCCCTCCGAAGGGGTCGCGAGAGGCGGGGACCAGAGGGAGGGGCGGGGCTAATAGCCTTGGCGCCGCGTTGCCATGGCAGCGAGGGAGGGTGCAGGGAGGGGGAGGAAGCGAGCGGGAGGGGGATGTGGTGCTGCCGCGGCCGCCACCGCAGCTGCCGCTGCCTGCTCTTTGCCGCGTCTTCCCGGAGGCGGCTGCTGGAAGCCGCCGGGAGCAGCTGTGGTGCTCTGCCATATTGTGTCTTCCCCTGCCCGTCCCTCTCCTCCCCGCTGAGGCGGCCGAGCAGACGGTGAGTCCCGTGCGGAGTGGCGCTCTCCTGGGCCGGCGCCGCCGGACGGCCGCGCTCTCCGCCCTAGCCCGCGGCGCAGCGCCCGGGCGCGGAGGCAGCGCGTGCGGCCGGCGTGGGGCGCGGAGGCGGCTGTCCCGTGACGCGCACGGACATTTTTGTCCTGTCAGGAATTGGTGCCGGCACGGGGGTCTCCCCTGCGCGCGGCTTGGGTACTGTGTGGGCTCCCGGGGGGTGTCGAACTAAGGGGAGCGTGGCCCCGTGCGGAGTTAGGAGTTTTTCGTGAGAGGTAATGACTGCCCCGGAGCGGGTGCCGGCTCTCCGGCAAGGCTCGGAGGTGGCCCCGAGGACGCTTAGGGCTCGACTCGGGGCGAATCTGCTGTTAGAGGAAGTGCCCCAAGCCCCTCGGGTGTGTGTGCAGCGCTCCTCCCCCGCCTCGAAGTGGAGCGAGACGTGCCGGGCGTGGAGTCCTGGTCCGGCCCCAGGCGGCCTGGCTGGGCCCCGCCAAGTAGTGCCCGGGGAGGCGCCGAGCGCTGCCTGGAGTGAACTTCAAGCCGCGGGACTGCTGGGCGATGCGGGGGGACAGGGGCGGGTCCGGATGTGGGGGTGGCAGACCCCGGCACCCTCTGGCCCCTCCTCCAGCGGGCGCCCTGGGGGCCTCGCCGGGTGGCTGTCTTGGTGGGGTGCGAGTTAGGGTTTTTCTGCGCTGCAGTATGGACACTTCCTGTTCGTCGCCTCTGTTGGGCCCGTGGTTACTTCTGCCCTTCTGTCTTGTGTCTGGGAGGGTGAGAGGTCGTGAGGGCGCATGCGAGGCCCTCCGCCTGCTGGGTTCGCCCCACCGCAGCAGCAGCAGCGAGTCTGAAACCCGGGAGGACGGTGGGAGTCAGGGGAAAGCTGGCCCCTGTGCGTAGCCCTCCACCCTCCACCCTCCACCCTCCACTCTTACTCAACTCCACTTCTTTTACCCCTTTGCAAAGTGCCTCTGTTCCCACCTCTGCTCGCGGGAGTGAGCGTAGCGAATTCAGTGGGGTGCACTCCCGGGATCTTCTTGGACCTGATTTCTGTCTCTTTAATTTAAAGCAGCCCTTGTACTTCCTTTTCACCTTAGAGAAAAAAAGTCTTAGCGTGCAAAGAAACAGCACAGTCTTTCTTTCACCCCAACTCCGAGGTGGAGGGAAGTGGGAGGTTATTTGTTTCCAGGTTAGTTTGTGCTGTGTCTCCTGTCTTCCTTCTGATTGTGACAGCCACGTGGCCGGCTGAGTGTAATAGAGTGCCCTAGCGCCACTAGGTCTGAGGCTTCACTGGTACCAGGGGCTTTGTAATCGTGCTGTAGCCTCGCATCCACATTTATTTTGGTGTTTTCAAAGATGAGGAAGTGGAAAATGCTCAACAGTTCATGTCTATCTCTGTTCCATCCGAATTGTAAGATTTATCTCTGTTACCTTGCAGTCCTTGTCAGGTTTATATTGACGTTTTTGCCTTCCTCTGCTGTTTTGATGATTCATCTCTAAAATCTCAGCAGTGTTAGGTACCATTAAGGAGTGGTGGGGGAATAGAGTAGTACATTATGGAGTTCCCCAACTCTGGAAAAAAGTCGTTTGTATTTCAAAAGCATTAGTGAGAGGTTCTAGTGCGATAAGAAACAATCATGTTCTGGAGGGTTTTTGTTTTTTTTTTTTTTTTACTTTTATAGAAGTCTTAGTGTTTTCTTCTTACATAAAAATCCTGACCTGAAAAAATATATTACGGATGAAAATACTTGTTTAGGGATGAAATAAACACCCGTTTGATTTGTGTGTGTGCACTTTCTTAAGCTCTTTTTGGGAAAGTTTTAATGGTTAATATGAATGTTAACATGAACAGATTTTATTTTAAGGAATGAAATTTAATTTTGAGAATATATGAAGTAAAGGGTCAAAGGGTTGAAGATAAAAAAAATCCAAACTTTTGGAGAGTTTGGCAAATTTTAGAATTTAGGTGTAATCCCTGGATACTAATGCATGATGTTTCATTTTGTAAATGCTTTGGTGGATTTGAATTATTCCTGTAACATATGTTTTTATTTGCATCAGTTTTACTTGGAGGGTGCTAAACCACAGGAAACATTTAGAATGTGTAAAAGAATTATGTAGAGAAGTTACAGCAGCACCATTTGTTAGAATTTAATTATGCCATAACAGTGGTTCTCAATCAATGAAGTTAATAGATAAAAAGATTGGAGAGGCTTCAGTGCAGAAAAGATAACGTGATTGAGAAATTGGTATATGTGCTGGCCACTGAAAGCAGTGCTTGGTTGAGAAAGAAAGTAAATGAGGTGATGAAATACTTATATAAAGCAGAAAGCACTGAAAACATATGCTGTCTGATAACAACATTATTAGTTATGGGATCCGACTATCGAATGAAACTTTAAAAAGTGCCATCCAAACAGGACTTACTCTTGTTCTTATGGTAGCTTAGCTACTCACAGTATGTGTTGTGTGTTGCTTTTAGATTGTTGTCATTTTGGTAACTGGGTTTTGCACAAATGCAAAAAGTCCTCCAGAAATAAAGTTTCAAGGGCCCAATGCTTTGCTGATTTCTTAGATAAGAAACAGAGGTCTATGATGTGATCCCTATTCTTTGGTTGAAGAGACTAAATTAACACCCATGAAAATAAGAATTTATATTGTGAGAGGATGTAGTTAGGAGTTAAATTGTATAATGCAGGCAAGTACTGTAAGGCTTAAAAGGAGAAGGAACCTAAAGGGTTTTGATTAAGTAGGGAGGCTTCTTCAAGAAATAAGGCTCTTGCTTTCTAAAGTCTAACCATGTTACTCCCCTTAGATTAATCTTCCTGAAAATTGTATCACTTTTATGTCAAGCATGAATACCAAATTTCTTCTCAGGACTTTGCAAACTTTGGTCCCAGTCTTCTCCCATCTTAATCTTCCACTAACCTTCAGGAACTGTTCTTTATTGACTACTTCAGTGTTGTATAACAATTTTACTTCTTCTTACCTTTGCTGGTGTAACATTTTTCTGTTGGAAATGCACCTGCACACATCCTCTTAACAACTGAAGAAATACTCAAGCTTGAGTCTTGGCTGCCCCGAGAGCCTTAGAATCACAGAAAAACAGACCTGCCTTCACCTCTCCAACTGAAAATTCTTTACCTTCTCAAATAGCATATAATTCTTTTGGCTGTGCTTTATGTACTGCCTGTTTTCACTTAATAAATACTTTTTGAGCACTTCCCATGTGGCAGGCACTGGTATTGGTGCTGAGGATACAGCTTTGAATGAGACAAATTCCTATGTTCTTTGTTAGTCATCTTTTTAGGTTTTATCACTCCAAGGAGATTATAAAGTCTTTGACCACCCAGAAGAATCTTACTTTCTTGTGTATATGTGATACTGAATAAAGGAAGGGCAGGACATGGTATGAGGTAGAGAGATGGATGAAAGGATCTTTACAAGTGAAGGGTACAAAAGCATAAGCAATTATGGATGGCCTTGAAAGTATCATTTCTGAATGTAAATATGGTTTAGTAAAAAAAAAATGGCATTTGAGCCTGGGAATATGATAAAATCCTTATTTGAGGAAGGTTCATTTGATAGCAGTGTGTACTACTAATTATTAACTGGGGATGGAGAGGCATAGGAAGAAGATTTATTGAAGAAAAAATAACTTTGAGAGGGAGGTTTGGAAGAAGAGCATTATCAAGAAGATGGTGAGTTTAGTTAGTTAAGTGTAAGGTGACTGGGAGATAGCAAGGGGAATATGACGTTTAAGTGACTAAAGATTAGGGATGTGGGATAGTCCATTCAATACAGAACTGACAGCTACTGTTATGAATTGTTATGAAATGTTGAGGACTAAGAATGATACTTTGGGAAACTAAAATTCAGAGGGCATTTACTTTGGTCATATGTAACTTTATAACTAATACTATAGACTTACACAATGCCTACAGTAGTGTTTTATTAATAACTTTATTTCCACTATAGTAGAATGCTATCTTTGTCTTATCCCCAAACATAAAGGGACCAAAAGAATGTTTATCATCATTTGCTTCCAAGGGACTTTGATTCATTCCTTATTTCCCTTACTCTGACTGTTTTTCTTTAAATAAATTTCTTTAGATTAGTTTTACATTTACAGAAAAGTTGCAAGATAGTACACATGAGTATACCTTACTCAGAGACATTTCATTTTCATGGTTAACTTCTTATATTACTATGGTACATTTGTCATAACTAAGGAAACAGAATTGCCACATTTCTAATAACTAAACTACACGCTTTATTTAGATTTCACTAGTTTTTCCCTAGTGTCCTTTTTCTGTTCCAGAATTCCAAATTCTGAGACTTTTCTTGTTTTTATGACTGTGACAGTTTTGGAGAGTACTAGTCAGAAATTTTAGAGAATGTCCCTCAGTTGCGATTTATCTAATGTTTTCCTCATGATTAGACTGGGGTCATGGGTTTTAGGGAGGAAGGCAACAGACATAAAGTGCCATTCTCATCACATTACTCCAAGGGTACATCCTAACAATATGATAAAATTGATGATAATCTTGATCACTCTTCGAGGTCTTTGTTTGCCATGTTTCACACCCCACCCTTCCATGTTTTACTCTTTTAGAAGCAAGTTGTTAAGCATATCCCATGCTTAAGGTCTTAACCTAATTTTGATTCATATTTTTTTTCCCTCAACCTAATTTTCTTTTCCATAAATAAACATTTAAACTTGGATAGATATTTTTTGAGCATCTACTGTATTCCAGTGCTAAGAATATAGTGATGAGTAAGAGATGTCATTTCTACTTTTCTGGAGTCTGCCTGATATAAAACATAAAATAGAATTTATCCCCTCACTTACATAGGTGTTGATTTCACTGTCATTTATTTATTTATTTATTTATTTATTTATTTATTTATTTATTTATTTATTTATTTTTAAGATTTTATTTATTTTTTAGAGAGCGAGCGAGAGAGAAACAGCATGAGAGGGGAGAGGGT